AAGCGGCTGACAGCACCACACAGAAGCATCATGCTCAGGGACGGAGCCAAGCACAGAACGAGGCAAGGCCTAGAGCTCGGAAGCTAGATGCTTCATCATGGTTGATGGAGTATGCACCAAAGCTTTATGATGGTGCATCTTCAGAAACTGGCTCATTCATGGCTTTCATTACTGGGCATCCCTGTCAGGAAGCCTAAGCCATGAGATCTTCCTGAATATGTAAGAGCTGTCCCTTAATACTTAAGGCATCAGCATTCATGCCATTACAATCCAAGCTTCAGTTTCAGGTTTAAGTGCATGAGGTTTGGGGTTTGTGGCGACAGTCTTTTGGTGACATGTGGTATTGTCTCCCACAGGATGGACACTGCAGTCTTAAGAGGGAGGCAGTGAGCGGGACTGACAGGAAGGCCAAACGGCGGCTTGAGAGGGACGGCGTGGATGGGGGAGGCCGATGCCGGGCCAAGAAGCCCCAGAAGAAGAAGATCAAGCTAAACAAGAACAAGAGTCGGGACAGCAAGGCTGCCCCAAGCTCCCCTTCTCTGACTTCGGACCCATCCCCCTCAGAAGACTCTGAGGAGGACATGGCTCTGTGCCCAGCAGAGGACTGCCAGCAGCCTGAAGGAGACGAGGTTGGTCCCCTCACCTACACCCACTGCTACGAGTGACCCATATATTAGTATGAAACTAATTTGAAGCATGCTGAACACTAACCTTTGTATTCAGACATTAACCATTCTGCAGAAGGGGTGGCTAGAACTGGACAGCAGTGGGCATGTGTTAAATATGTGGGAATTGAATTAATGTCTCCTAATATACATGTGACAGAGCAGGGGTTTATGTGAAAGTTCCTGTTGTGTGTGTGTGTGTGTGTGTGTGTGTGTGTGTGGAGAGTGCTGTTAAATGATGGACATATGGTCTGTCTCTCAGGTGGACTGGGTCCAGTGTGATGGCAGCTGCAACCAGTGGTTCCACCAGGTGTGTGTAGGGGTGTCCCCCGAGCTGGCAGAGAAGGAGGACTACATTTGTGTCAACTGTACTGTAAAAGACGGCCATGTGAGGAAATGATGAGAGAGGAAGAAAAGAGAAACATTTGGAAGAAGACTGTGGGAGGGCAGGGACAACTGGCTTCTTTGTGAGCCTTGACTAGGGGCGTGTAACAGGGTCCTAATATGCTGTCTGTTGGCCTAACCCTAACCCCATACCCCTTCCCGTCTGAAAATGGTGCTACTTCCTCCTTATGGGATACTTTTCCAGAACTGTTAAGACTCTTTGGTCTTTTTTTTTTTTGTATGTTTTCATCCCCCCCCCCCCCCATCCATCCTATGAACTGTTTGTGGTTGTCTAAGAGTACCGGGATGTGGCCTGTGCTGCAGGGGTTTCCATCCCGTTGGCGCAACAAAGGACTAATCAAGCACCTTCTGAAGAACCAGGCTCCCCCCTTCCTCTGGGATCCTGCATGACAAACCGGAGATGCTGGGTGCAGGGGAAACGTTTTTCACCAAAAAAGTTAAATGGAATGAAAAGAGAGCTATTTTTTGGAAACCCACTGTTTAGTACAAGCATCTGAATAATATAAAGTTCTTTTTTTTGTAGGTTAGATTTATTTATCTGAGCAATAACTGAACTACTTGGAGTTCAGTGGCTTAATCTCTTCAGAACAGTGTGTTGGTGCTGTAGCCATGGTTGATGTACAGAAAGCTCACTATTAGACTTTAGGATGAAAGTGATGGTCTAGCGATGTAGCAGGCAGAGGGGACTGTGTAAAGGAACTGCCACAGCTGTACTTTGACTTCTTTTCTTCAAAGGGGGAGGGTTGGGGGATTGGAAAAGGGAGCTTGTTTTCAGATGTTGCGGTTTATATTGTGGAATAAAACCCTTTGTTCTCATTTTTTTCCTCCTCCATATGAAAGTGAAATTTTTGAGTCACATTATTTTGGCAGTGGGGTATATTACTGTATCAAGATGAATTTGGAGTTTGTATATCTGCAGCAGCTGAAGCCATGGTTCTTTATTGGAAGTTACTTTCATAAGGATACATGCTTTATTATAAAGTGGAGAAATTTTGAGTTCCTCAAGCTTTGAATTCTGTAGAAAAGATCTGTAATTTGTTCATTTGCTAGACAGAAGATGATGCTTCACTTGTAAAGTCATAGTTATCTGGTTCTTCATAGGTCTACCAGCCTTGGCACTGTCTAGGTTTTTTTTTTTGCTATTTAAATCACTTGCATCATGGATAATAAAAGGTAAGGCTAAATTGTTTAATTAACATGATGAATTTTTTGCTTCATGCACAGAGGTAGACTGAAATCCTAAACATGTACCATAGTCCTCCAGTAATATGGTTGAAAACTGAGGATCTAGGGGTAACATCCTAAGACATTATTGAAGCAATCAATATCCGCAAAAGGCCAGTTTGTATGTAGAGCGGCGAGTGGCTCAGCGGAAGATCACCACTTCGAGCCCCAGCCTCTGCAGAACAGTCCATGGGCCCTTGAGCAAGGCCGTTAAAACCCAGGTCCAGGGGCACTTCATGTTAACTGACCCTGTGCTATGGACCCCCAAGCTATGGAAAGCAAGGTGCAGTAGGCTGAGAAGAATTCCAATGTACCTGTACTCATATTTGTGCCCATGCCAAATAAAGGATGATTATTAGGATTTTGAGATAACCTTTAAGTCGGCTGTTCAAACCCAGGCTTGAGGACTCTTCAACCAATCAGTCCTCTAATTGGTAATCTAATGAGGGAATTGCAGTGAAAACCTGCACACACAATGGCTCTTTCTGGATAATATTGGCTACCCCTGTCCTAAGATATACCACAGATTCTTGATAGGGTGTTAGAGGTGTCTGTAACTGGTATGGCTCACCCAGTCTCAGCAAATGATACCCAACTGATATTGCCAAATGCTTTTGATAAAATTTCAACTTAAAGTGTTCCTGAAGCATCCTGAATTTAACAGCACCTTTATAGGCTGAGCTTGTGCGAAAAGACATTAAGCTTTAGAGTGTTTTTTTTGCCAGCTATTAATCAAAATAAGTATAATAGGTTTGACTACTGAAAAATACTGTACATTGGATCTCCTTTTCTGCTATTAAGAACCTAGCATCAGTTATATGTATTTAAGGTTTGTTACAGAGGATGCAAGGGAGGTGATATAATGTATTTGTTCGCCTCATGCAATGGAAACCACCAACCACAGACAGGTTTTGCATCAGTCTTGCAAATACTGGATTTTCCACTTCACTCTAAGTTTAGACCTTGTATGATCTTGGCTGTTGCCTCACCTCCAGGGGCCTGTATCACAAATCAGGATTTCTTGCTTACCCAGATAACATGCTGGATTTAAGGTGGTCTGGGCAAAATGTAACTGAACAAAGATAAAGTACAGCAGTTTAAATGGACTTTACATCTGACAAGTTAACCGGCTAAGCAAGAAATTCTGCTTCATGATACAGGTGGCAGGAGTTGGGGTTTGAATCTTACTTCAGTGTCTGTGTGTGGAGTTTGTGTATTTCTTCATGCAGTCAGGTTAATTGCTATCTCAAAACTGCCTGGTGTGTTGGATAAAATGTGTGTACCCTATGATGGGCTGATATCCTGTCCAGAGTGTAAGATAGGCCAGAACCCATGTGATCCTATCCAGGATAAGTGTCTGAAAGATGGAGGGATTGATGGATGTCTATGATGAAATGTTAAGAGCCACGTTTGCATTTGTATTATAACATTTCTATGAGATTCAATGTGAAGCTACAGCAGGAACCCACTTTTAACTACAGGCGGAGGTGGGAAGATCAGGTCCAGAGAGTAAAGGTCCACACCAAGATTTTGTTTTTTAAACCTGTTATTTGAAACAAAATCTTCGTCTGGATTTTTAACTCTCTGGACCTGAATTACCCACCTCTGGACCAAAGTTTCAAAATTTAGCCTGTGATTCTAATGGTAACTTATTCCGTTTTTTTTCTATTCACCATTTCAAAAAACAGAATAATTTTCTGACTTACCGCGGCCCACCCATTCAGCCTTCACAGCAAGCGATCCAGTACAATAAAACGATTGTCATGTATGTGTGTGCGCGGTTAGATTCATTTAAGGAAAAGTGATGTTGAGAGGCAAATAGTTTTTTCTTTATATTTGTTCATTAGTAACGCCACGGAGCATTTAAAAACTGATAATATGTAGCCGGGTCTGTAGCGTGATGGTGTCAAATTGTGGGACTGGAAAATCTGATAATATAAAATAATGGCATGAAATGTTTCAGCACTCATTTAAAGAATGACTAAAGTCAATACTGGATACTGTCGTAGTGAATGTGCTTCCAGAATTATTTCAGAATGCACGCCTTACATAAGATTAGGATTTATGATTTCTCTTATAAAAAGGTCACCATCAAACCAACCACCATAAAAGACATAAGATCAGGAAAGCAAAAACAATGAGTCTCACCTCTGAAAACTAAAATTTAGCGCACCTAATAGATTAATGACACCACTGCACAACACGAATCTCACCCACATTATGTGTGCATTAATAGTAAATATACGCCAGGTTGATGAATGACCATCCATCTTCCAATATGTAGGGGGCACCCTGAACAAGTCGCTTTGGAAACCAGCCGCACAATTTTCACAAGCAGGTGGTGTAAAATTATCATGTATTATTATCATAAGATTTTGCTTAAAAACTTCGTCTGTACTGTGATACAGAAATCGGGATATCATTCAATATGGCAGAAAGTCAAATAAGACGTTATTACATCTTCATTTTTTGAACCAAAAAGCCATTCACAATTTAATTCACCATAATCAAACTCATATCGATTTGTATAGAAAATTAGTATTTCTTTGTTGATTTTGTATGTTCTATATTTTCTTCGTCTTTCAACAGCTATTGAGTTATCGTGTTGTTAATAATAAAAAATAATAACAACAATTATTATCATCATCATCATCATCATCACCACCACCTGCCGTTTCGTCACCAAAATGGCAACCAAAATGCTGCAACCTGCTTTAAGCAATAAGCACCACCTCGCGAAACTTGACGGTTTTGATGGAGGTGCAGAGCGCCGCCTTGTCGTGCTTCCTCCGACCCTGGAGATGGGGCCACAAGCTCGGCTGCCGAGCCGAAGCGGGAGCTCGAGCGAATCGCTCTTGGTCGCAGAGTCACACCTCCCGACCGGTCTGTGCATTGGCGCGCTCTGCAGCAGAACAGCCCCGCCGATTTGCCTGCTTGCTTTTTCAACTAGCTGTGCGGCCTGAAACATGGCGGGTGTGAGTTCCTCAGATCCCGGCTCGGTTTCGGCCGCTGGCCCGGTTCAGCAAGGACTGAAGGAGGCGCTGATAGAGACACTGACCGCGATCCTTTCCCCAGTGCACGAAGTGCGGGCAGCGGCGGAGGAACAGATTAAAGTGCTGGAAGTGACGGAGGGTAAAGTATTGACAACTAACTAGCTTTCTAGCTAGCTATCATTGTGAACGGCGTGAGGGGTAGCGGCACTGCCTAGGTTCATTTCAGTAACTTCATGGGCCTGCGAGATGGAAAGACAGGCTTATTTACCGCAGATAGTCAAAATAGTTTGCTCTGTTTTTTTAAGCGTTTTGTTACCACGACTTCATAAATTAGCAGTTTTAAAAATGCTGCTAGACAACTTCTCAGTCAAATCTAGTTGATAAATTCCTCCCAAGATCCCGTCTGCTGTGCAGGCATCCACCATTTCGGCTAATAGCTAATACTGATCACATCACATTAACGCCAGCGTTTCTCAAACAGCCCGGCTGATGTAGTCATGGAGGTCTAGCGCTGGCTGCGTCGGAACTACACTTTCTAACTTGTTGAATTGAAATCTGCCAGGTGCATTAGGGTTCATCGGTTCGGTGGCTGGTCTTGTAGTTAAGGTGGGTCTTTCGGGACTAATGCAGCTGGACGCTGACTGTCACGGTCTCGCGCTGTCTCCGTGAAGTGCGGGTCTGTGCGTCGCGCGGAGGCGCGCGCCGTCACATTGCCCGGTTCCTTCAGAATTCCCGCCCTCTTCCAGGAATGAGTCAAGGCCGGTGTGGAGTCCGGCTCAGAAATGCCGCTGCCGCCTCACCCCTGTGGCTTTACCTTGTTGCATTACCCTGAAAACGTGCTGATGCCCTGTTTCCTGTTATCAAATCCTTAAAAAATTCTGAGATGGCGACTGTGCAGTACTTGTGAACTGCATATTATGCGCACATTCATGACGTTTGCGACCAGTTTTGAAGCTTCAAAACCGCAGTGTTCAGCTGTTTTCAGTACTGTGTGACTGAGAAGTAGTTGCCTTTCCTCTGAAGCCCCCATTTTCCAGGTGGTCTAGTGTTTCCTGGGAAACACTTTTTTCTATTCTTATTTTCCATTGACTGCATCATTTTACAAGTGGGAAATATTCATTGGCAGACTCGCTTTATGCTCGAAATGGGTAATGCGTTGTGGTCCTTCCTTATTTTCGGTCCTTCCAGTGTAGACTTTTGTCTGGGTGATTTTTGAAGTTTAAATGATTGATGCTCAGTGTCTGTCCTGCTCATTCATTGCGTGGAATGGGGTGTAAATAGTTTCCACTACAACTGACAAATTTCATTGCTTACGTATGATTACCTTAGCTATGCCCAAACCCCTCATTCTCCCTGGTGATGTTAATTTGTATATCCAGGGATGCTCTGTTGAAATACAAGTATATGCACATTTTACTTTGCTGAAGCAGATCCTTATTATCTCTTATGTAACTATGCAAACTAATATTTATATGATGCAAGTAGACTAGCTATTCGTGTCTCCACACTCATAGCTTTTATATGTGTGCCCTGTTTTGTACTGTATTGTTGTTGGGCATCATGTCTCCCTTCTTTATCTTTACCACCAACTACAGTAACTTCTCGGTAGGGCTGTATGGTGCTGTACTGTTTTAGACAGCTATATATAAGGTGTGGTGCGTCGTCACGGATGGCCATTTTGGTTCTGGTGACAGGTGTGACAGGTCTGAAAGGCTGATGCTGCAGGAGGTGCAGCGACATCACAGCGCTGGTGATCTTAGTTTCCCACCTTGGGAACCTGCTGTATGGAAATGTCAGCAGTCGCATTGTCTCTCAGGCCATGCCATCTCTTTTGGATAAATCTGGGCAAAGAAAGGGGCAAGGGGCCAGAATTAGTGGTGCGACTTAGCTTTTGTGGTGTCAGGTACCCTGGGGATACTGACTTCACACTGAGTCATATCTAGCTTGTGCAGCTGTATTTGTTTGCCAAATCTGTTTTCCTTTTAAATTTGAAATGAATCGGAGACCCGATGTAGGTATTACTTCAGAGTACATGTAAGTGTTTAAAAGCCGTAGGGCTCCTTTAATGTGATTTCTATTTGCTATAACCCTGAGAGATGTTTGAGAGTAATGCTGCTATGTTGCCAGATGCTTTCTTCCTTTGGCAGTTGATCTTGGACGTCGTCATGTGTCTTTCTGGCCCGGGTGCCGTCCTGCTGTCCCTGCCCTTTGACAGGTGCCTTGTGTTTCAGAGTTTGGCGTACACCTGGCGGAGCTGACCGTAGACCCCCGGGGAGCCCTTGCTATTCGACAGGTGAGGAAGTCATATGCCCCAGGAGAAGCTGTTGCGTTTGCAGATTTGGTAAATGTTGTCCCAAAATGGCCTAGGTGTCGATATTGACCTTCGCATGCCCTCTTCCCCCTGTCCAGTTGGCCTCAGTCATCTTGAAGCAGTATGTGGAGATTCACTGGTGCTCTCAGTCAGAGAAGTTCAGGCCACCAGAAACCACTGACCGGGTGCAGTATCCCCCTCTCTCTCACTCTCCCTTCCTTTCTTCCCTTCCTCCCTCCCTTCCATTGACTTTATTGGCATGACAGTCTGTACTGGAAATGTGTATTAATGTTACAAAAGCAAGAACATAAGAACATAAGAAATTTACAAACGAGAGGAGGCCATTCGGCCCATCAAGCTCGTTTGGGGAGAACTTAGCTAATAGCTCAGAGTTGTTAAAATCTTATCTAGCTCTGATTTAAAGGAACCCATGGTTTTAGCTTCCACTACAATAGCAGGAAGACTATTCCATACTNTATTCCATACTCTAACTACACGCTGTGTAAAGAAGTGCTTCCTCAAATTTGTTTTAAAATGTTCTCCCGCTAATTTCCACTTATGGCCACGAGTTCTGGTATTTAGTCTAATATTGAAATAGTCATTTGGCTGAACAGCATCCAGACCCGTTAGAATCTTATAGGCACAAAGGGTGATCTGTATCTAACAACGACACTCAAGAACACAGAAAAATAATGGCAATTAAGTACAGAGGTGCATGGTTATTAAAACCACACAGGATTGGCATTTTTCCTTTATCCTTTTATGTTTGGGGAACATCTGTAGTATCTATATATTTTAATACTTGCCTCACATTTAAGGGCTGAATGAAGCTCTCTCTCCAGCTGACTTTAGTGTTGGCACAACTTGACCTCTGTTGCCAGCCAGGTTCGCCTGTCTCCCAGTTTCAGTGACCTGCCAGTGACCATCAGTTTCCTGCCATAGATGTGCTGTTTTTAACTCTCAGTAGAATTATGTTGGATGTCCTAGTAGGTTATGTAATTTCTGATAATTTGGTTGAGACTAATTGTGCGTCGTTGTTGCTGTTGTGCTGTGCCGTGTTTGTGAAGTGTGTTTTTTGACCAGTAGACAGGCTGTGCCCTTGTACCAGTCCAAAGTGACTATTGTCTTGATTAGGGCTGAAACAACTGATTGATAACATTAATAATAATCAATAATAAAAATAGGTGGCATTGAATTTTGTATTATATTTATTTATCTGATGCTTTTGATCCAAATAAATTTGCAGTGCAAGGAAAGATTACAATTTATCTATACTCCTTGGGATTTGAACCCACAACCTTTATGTTGTTAGCCTTATACTTATTGCGCTGCAGGTGATGGTAGGATTTTGGTTGTATTTTTACAATTTTCTCTGTAAAATGCAAAATAGTGACATCATTTAGCGACCTTAACAGGGGCAGTGGTGGCTTAATGGTTAGGGAAGCGCATTTGTAATTGAAAGATTGCAGGTTCGAATCCCCGACCAGCAAGGCACCACTGAGGTACCCTGAGCAAGGTACCGCCCCCAAGCACTGCTCCCACGGCGCTGAATTAGCTGCCCCCTGCTATGTCACATTGGCACATATGGGTTAAATGCAGAGGACACATTTCGTTGTTGTGCACTGTGTGCTGTGATGTGTCAAATAATCTCTTAATTTTAATTCTAAAGTTGGTATGTTAAGCCTAGTTCTTACTTCTCTTCCCCATGCTGGACTCTTGTGAAAATACTACATTTGTTCATGGATGTAGATGGTTGTAGTCCTTGCATACGTACAGCGATGTTATTCCACAAGACCAGCAGAGGGCAGATGTATTGTCGCAAACACAAATACAAGAAATATAGTGAAATGGGTTTTATGAACAGTGTTAAAGTGGTTACTAGTCTTAGGTGGTATTAGGGTGACATGGTATACCATGGTATTTTGAAATCTTGGGGGCAAAGACCCCTCCCACACTGAGAATTTTATCGCCAAGATGATAAAATACTGGAATTGCATCAATTTTGAAAATACCATGTGCCATGGTGTAAAGTACAATCGTTAGCAAGCTGAATATGACCAAGACAGCAGATCATCTTTTTATTCCACTTTGTCTCTCTACACGGTGCAGAGAATCACCTTTTAAAGTATTATTTTTTCTAAAACTGTGACTAAAAAATACCCAATTATGGTTTTGAAATAAAGCATTTGTATGTTTCTTTAGATTCTGTGTTTTGGCCTAACTCTTGGTTGATTGCCTGATCACATTATTAAACGATTATCAAAATAATAGTTTTTTGCAGCCCTTGCTTTTTTTTGTCTTTATTCTGATCTGCCTGAACTGATTAGAGGTTCCTCTTTGATTCTTGATTTGCAAAACTTTGCCTGTGTAGTTAGCCAATTAACTAAAAATCAGCAACTGGCAAGTGGACCCCATACTTTACTTTTATTTTTAACCATGGGTTCTTTTCTGGGGAAATCAGCATTTTTCCCTTTTATTGTATGAATTGAGAGTTTCTGTTTTGGTTCACTACCCACCAGGTTACAGTTTCCTCTTGAATTTAGGGTTGATGTACTCGTTTTTGGTTTTTGGCCTAATTATGAGGTTCTGCACCCTAAATGCAGTGTTTGTTGTAATTAAAATGGTTTGACAAATCACTGTACGTTGAAGTGCACTGTATAGGAACAAGGATCTTTGTCTGTCTGGTGGCACTAATGCCTGGAGCTGTTTGGACTTTTACTGCAAAAGGTGATGAGCAAATTGGACAGAGTAACACCCTGTATAATCTAAATTAAGTTGAAGATAAATCGACAGCAGCATTTTCTCTCCTCTTGGCATCGTTGCGATGCAGCCTGTATCTTCGCTGCTTGTGTATAATGTATGTTGATGTGTGTCCGGTTGTCATTGTTTTTTTTTTGTGTTATCTATTGATGGCTGCGTGAAAGGACTAGTATTCATTAGTTATGGTTAGTTTGCCCTGCAACAGACCAACATTCCGTCCATGGTGTCCCCTGCCTTGTACCTTGTGCTGCCTGGGATTGGCTCCAGGCCCCCTGTGATCCTTCACTGGATAAGTGCTTAGAAGATTGATGGATGGTCCCTCTTAATTTGTCTGTGACTTGGCATCTTAGCAAGGGAGCCCTGTTTGAGGTGCCTCTTCCCATCTGTTTCCCGACCTCCAGGCGAAAGCCGCCATTCGGGATCTGCTCCCCGGGGGCCTGCGCGAGGCCATCAGCAAGGTGCGCTCCAGCGTAGCGTATGCCGTGTCGGCCATCGCGCACTGGGACTGGCCCGAGGCTTGGCCACAGCTCTTCACGCATCTCATGGACATGCTGGTCAGCGGGGATGTGAACGCTGTGCACGGGGCCATGCGGGTCCTTACAGGTGCTGGCACCCGCCTGCCATCGCGTTGCTTCGCCGCCTGTAGAACTCTGTCCGCTTACTGCGACGCCTTCCGCATTTCCAGTGTCATTGCGGGTTTATAGTACAGCTTTTATAGTTTGTATGTCTCTTTATGCTACAAGTGCTGAAAATACCATGGCCTTGCTGTCTCCAGAGTTTACCCGCGAGGTGACGGACACACAGATGCCACTGGTGGCACCTGTGATTTTGCCTGAGATGTACAAGATCTTCACCATGGCGGAGGTACAGCTATTGTAGTCAGGCTAAGAGATGAAGGGTTTGTTGTGTTTATGGGCATTTTGGGTTTTTGTTTGGGTGGAAAGGAAGTTGTCATTGGATGCTGTGATCCGGGTGCTCCTTTGATGGGTGTCCGCACGGCCTTCTTGCGGGCAGTTATGGGGAGGTGCGCTAATTCTACCCCTCGTATTGTAGGTCTACAGCATCCGCACCCGCTCCAGAGCTGTGGAGATCTTCACCACCTGTGCCAACCTTATCTGTGCCATTGAAGAGCTGGAAAAAGTGAGCAGAAGAACTGAGAATAAGTGGATGCTATTCAGTGTTGGCAAATTTCCTAAAGCTAACTTCCATTCTGTTTCCATTCTTTTTGTTCTGGTCTAGATTGACCGATAGTGAGTGTCTGTTTATGGCCTTGTGTGCTTGGCGGAATGGATAGTGACGCCGTACTTCTCTATGAATGCAGATGCCTATGTACCTCTGTGGTTGTCCTTTTGTTCGTTTAGGGAGCAGCCAAGGCACTGATTTTTCCAGTGGTTCAGCAGTTCACAGAGGCCTTTGTGCAGGCGTTGCAGATGCCTGATGGGCCGTCCTCTGACAGTGGCCTCAAGATGGAGGTACTCAAGGTGAGTGCAGCTTCCTCCCTGAGTTTTAGAGCATTCTGGGAGTATAACGATCATTTAAGCTACAGCAGTCTTCAACTAGCCATTTCCCCCCCCCTCTTTTGTGTCATCAGGCAGTTACAGCCCTGGTGAAAAACTTCCCTAAGCCCATGGTATCCAGCATGCAGCAGATTCTGCCCATTGTGTGGAACACTCTGACAGAAAGTGCTGCCTTATATCCTTTGGATGCCACCACAGTTATGGAAGCCATCCTCTAAGCATACCTTCTAACTCCACATTGTTAGCTATCATGAATACTGACTGACAGTTTTGATTAATTATGTTTATAGGATCAGGTGGCAAGAACGTTGAGATGGTGGAAGTATTGTATGGTGGGTATTTTCTGCAAAAGGTCACATGAGTCTTATGTGGAAAAAGCAAAAAATAAAATCAGAAAACCTTTTTGTCTTTTTTTTTCTCCAATTTGACTTTTCATTTCCTACTTTGCTTTTTCGTTTTCAAGTTCACAGCATGCAGTTATATGTTAATACGATCGGGGCGGTGGGCGGCGCTATGGATCACTGCTGCGCCTTCTCAGTATGTTTGCCGATTCTGTTGTCCCTGTGTTTCTTGCCCATGGTTGCCTGTGTCGCTCATACTAATCGCAAAGTGACACACGGCTTAAGTTGGCTACTTATTTGCAGCTTCTGATTCGTTTGGCTTTTTATTCTTATTTTATTTTTTGCAGAAAATACCTCCCATAGGATAGGGGGATGAATTGGTGTGGGGGGGGGGGATTTTTCCATGTTGACAATGGATATGTGTAAGTATTGGTGGAGAGGTGATCATAAGTCTGTATTTCTATAGTCTTTTCTTGACCCTTTATGTACCTATGTCAGAACTGAAGTGAACTACACGGAAGAGGTGGACAACCCTATAGACTCTGATGGTGTGTTTTCAAGTTCTTGCTCTCTATCTTTTCTGTATTTTGACTGACTGAATAGTTAGTTTCTAAAAGACACACAGGACAGAGTCGTAGTCTGAAGCATCTGTACATCCTCAGTTTCTGTTTCAGGCAGATGGGTGATCTTATAAGGTTATTATTGGCCTGTGTTTCCTACTTCTGCAGGTGAGGTGTTGGGCTTTGAGAACTTAGTGTTCAGCATCTTTGAATTTGTCCACACGCTGCTGGAAAACAACAAGTTTAAGAGCACTGTGAAGAAGGCCCTGCCTGAACTCATCTACTATATCATCCTGTACATGCAGATCACAGAGGAGCAGGTACGACTATTGTTATGGTAGGACGTGAGCTGGAGGAGAAGGTCTCACAATCCCTTACTCATCTGGCTCTCATCTGCTTTTTTCAGATCAAAGTGTGGACCGCCAACCCACAGCAGTTTGTGGAGGACGAAGACGACGACACGTTCTCATACTCTGTCCGAATCTCTGCTCAGGACCTCCTCTTGGTAGGAGATGCATTGTCAGGCATTGGAAGCTTGGAGATGGGATGGTGGCAGCTTGATTGTTGCTGATCTGTCTGCTGCTGGACTCCTTGTTTGACAGGCCGTGGCAACAGAGTTCCAGAATGAGAGTGCGGCGGCTCTGGCTGCAGCCGCCTCGAGGCACCTGCAGGAGGCGGAGCAGGCCAAGAACAGCGGCGATGAGCACTGGTGAGCATGCTGCTAATTCATGGAATCATGGGTGAAATGTCACGCCCCTTGCAGTTCATTCAGTGTTTCTTCACCTTATATGAATACTAGGCCTGGGCGATTATGAATGATATATTGACTTATCGTCATATATAATTTGAATAATAGGAAAATTTGAAAATCTGATAAACTGTCAATAAGGAACATTGAGATCACATTATCAGCCTATCACATCATAGAAGTTAATACAGTTCCAAACAATTGTATGGTATTCTTTTATGAATGGCAACCTCCGCCCAGAAGCTACACAGCTAGGTTGATTAAGTTAGTGCGGCACGCCACATTACTATTTTGGTGATATACAAGAGTCATGGGAGAGATTAGCGCTCACTCAGAGGGAACTTTAACTGTTTGTGAGGAAAGTGACAGCAGCAGCAATATTTTTTTTTAAAAAGGAGATATTTTGAATAAACAAGGTAAAAAGACAGTTTGACGGTACTTTTTGCAGTGTAAAGTCTGACGCACAACAAGCTGGTGCTGTGTACTGTAAACTCTGCCGAAAATATGTGCCGACTTAAACTGGTAACGCCGCAAATTTATTCTGACACTCAAAGCAGTGCCATCCAGTGCAATGCACAGAATGCAAGTGCTTGCAGTGTCAAACAGCAGTAAGCAGGGTTTCCATTTTCAATCTGAAGCAATATGGGGCTAATCACATTCTGTACTGGTTGTAAATGGAACGCAGCATTTTATTTTTCACTTCAAGAAGGGTGATAACTACTAGCAGCAAACCATATTTTTATCGTTTTCTATTGTCATAACCTGTGACAAAAATAAATATAATGTTTTAATATGATTTATTCATCTAAATAATATTTGTTTGCTGTCCATTCAGTTTTTTTTTTGCTGTTTGTTCTGTTTAATGGGAATTCTACGGGAATTTTAAGCAAAATGTGAGCCTTCAAGTAAAGAAATAATGACATTAATTATATAATTATCAATATTGACTGACAAAAAAAAAATGTGATAAAATATTTTATGTCATATTGCCCAGTTGTAGTGAATATGTATGTGGAATACAGGATCAATGCATTATTAGTACATAATGATCCTAGTAATGGTGTTCTGGGTTTGCAATATAGTATCGGATGGATAATTATAGTCCTGAGAGCTGAGCACTTGCATAATGCACTCTAAAGATGTATCCTGAATAACCAAGAACACCATCTAAAAATGCTCCTGAAGGGCAAACTCCCAGTATGTTGCCCTGGAAAGCCTGTCTGGTGCTTTGTTGCAGCCTTTATCTGCTGCCACTGGTCCAGGATAATTGCTCTTTCTCTCTGTCGAGGTGGAAGATCCACGAGGCCTGCATGCTGGCCCTGGGCTCCGTGAAGACCATTGTGACGGAGAATGTGAAGAGTGGCCGTGTGCAGTTCGACATGCATGGCTTCCTGGCCAACGTCATCCTGTCTGACCTGAACCTCACAGGTCAGTGCTGCAGAGAGCTTCCAGCTACTCTCCCTTCCTGCTGTGCTGCTGTGTGTGTGATTATTTGCCATTATTTTAGTAGGTGAGTAGTTGTGCACCCCCTCCCAACTGAAATAATTCAGGATAATACCCATCTCAAGGGTACTTTAGCTGTTTCCCTCTGGCATTTTGGCCGGCAATCTTGTAATGACGTCATCGCCACATCCTGAGCCTCCGCTCGTCCAAATCCCTGACGTTCCCTGTGCACTTCCTCCCCCAACCAGCTGCCTCCCCTTTCCTGCTGGGCCGGGCACTTTGGGCAGCCAGCCGCTTCACGACAGCTATGTCCCCGGAGCTCATCCAGCAGTTCCTGCAGGCCACTGTCAGCGGCCTGCATGAGAGCCAGCCTCCCTCGGTCCGCATCTCGGCCGTGCGTGCCATCTGGGGGTGAGGACCATCACCACGGGCAGTGGCTTCTCAGCCCAGCTCATGAAACATTCCCGACACAACTCCACCCATACCTTTTAGTGCAGGGTGTCATTGGCCATAGTGAAGCATAGCTTTGAAAGGGTGTGGCTGGTTAAATGTGTTATTCAGATATAATCTTGTTAAATCCTGGTAGAATTCACTTTATATCGATGGTTGGGAAACTAGATTGAGGTATTTGAGCATTGGGGTCTGATGAAATAGTCTGATTTCAATACTAGTTTGATCACAGCAGTGCAGTTACACCTTAAAGCAGTGGGTATCGTGTGTGTGGTGCAGGTACTGCGATCAGCTGAAGCTGTCGGAGAGCACGCATGTCCTGCAGCCCTTCCTGCCGAGCGTTCTGGAGGGTCTGGTGCAGCTGGCAGCACAGTTCAGCTCGGAGGTGCTGACCCTGGTCATGGAGACGCTCTGCATTGTGTGCACGGTCGATCCCGCCTTCACTACGAGTGCTGAGAACAAGATCTGCCCGCTCACCATCGCCATCTTCCTCAAGTACAGCAACGGTACAGCTGCCCAGCAGAACTGTTAAATGGCTGCTTCATAGTAGATTGTCAAAAAGCCAAAAATCAGTTTGATTTACAGTCTGTATACATTTGTTTTATGACAGTAAACCGTAATGTTTATATTTATATATATATATATATATATATATAATATGAAGTGTGAGTGAGTGAGCGAACGAGAGAGTGAGTTCCACATTCATTCAATTAATTTCCCTCCCTCTCTATTCTAGACCCTGTGGTAGCTTCCCTTGCTCAGGACATCTTTAAGGAGCTGGCCCAGATTGAGGCCTGTCAGGGGCCCATGCAGATGAGACTCATCCCCACCTTGGTCAGCATCATGCAGGCACCCCCAGACAAGATCCCCTCGGGCCTGTGTGCTGTAAGTGCAGTGAATTGTGCTCAGGTTTAACTGACATGGAGCTGTGAATCAGCAGAGCAGCCAAGCGGCAAACGTCAGCAAAGCAGTAAAACTGCATTTTGTAGTGAATGACATCATTTTTCAATGGCTGGCCACTTCCTGCTTAATTCCAGTGGCATCCTTCGTCTTTGCCAGTGTTACTTTTAAAAGTATCTGAGATGTTTGTTCCCTCTTCCTATTAAATTCCTGCATCCCGCAATCTGGTTGGTCCGCCCCTTGTCTGGTGCTGGCCTGTTACTGCACTTTCCCCATGCTGACTCCCTGGGTGGTCTCCCCCCCCCCCCCCCAGACTGCCATAGACATCCTGACCACAGTGGTGCGGCACACCAAGCCCCCCCTGTCGGAGATGCTCATCTGCCAGGCCTTCCCAGTGATGGCGCAGTGTACCCTGCGCACAGATGACAACACCACGATGCAGGTCAGCTTGGTCTGGTGCCACCGCAGAGGTGTGAAATGTCTGTTAGACGTCCTGTGAAAGGCCTTACTGGTATACCCCTTAGCAGATAGCTAGCCTCAGTTGCTTCAATAAAATATAATTTGTGGTATAATTGAGTAAGAGATATATGTATAAATCAACACCGTGGACTAGGGATTTTGTGTGTGATTTGTGGGAGTGATGCCAAATGAAGTTTCATGAACCATCTTCTGTATTTTTTGACCCCACAAGATGGCGCTCTTGGTTTGCTTTGAGGCATGAATTGAGCTCTTTTTTTTGAATAGAGATCACCATCTAGTTGTGTCATGAAGCTTCATTTAGCTATCACTAATTTGTGGAGTTTGTGTATAGTATAGTGCTGTGGTGCTCAAGCTGTAGTGCCGCAAGGTGGTTTGCAAGAAGACCAGGGTAATTTGTGTTACAGGTTACTGTGATTTTTAATTTTTTTTTCCCTTTTGGTCTACGTGGTGCTTGGCTGCTTTGGTTTGATCCATAGTGGTACTTAGTCCAAAAAGTGTGACAACCATTGGTATCGTAGAAATACAGTGATTGAATATGCTAGATACCTGCATAGAATGGAAAACAATGGTATTTGATATTGATGTCTGGATAAGTGTGGGGAAAAAGAGAGTAAGTATGGAGATATTTAGGTGTTTCCAGACTTCTGACAAGTTGGCATACTATGTATTCAAAAAAAGTTTGTTGAAATCACTGATATGAGCTTGTTGTTGGTCCCAGAATTTGCACAGAGTGAACACTGAAGAGAATTGTGTGAGGTGTGCATGCAGTTAATCTCCAGCAAGAAATACTGATGTAGGCTGCCTTTACATGTACAATTTACACTTTACAGTGCTCACAGTGGGGGAAAAGCAAGTTTTCACCTTGCCAGTCCCAAATGATGTAAGTGGTTGGCAATGGAACCAAAATGTGATCAGAAAGCAAAATGCAAAGTATGTGTGAAGTTCTTCAACATTTTGAGCATGGATGATTTGGCAGAAGTATTGCCGTCTTTAATCGTCTATCTTGCCGGATCCTGCCAAGATGGGCAGTTTCCCAGGCTGGCAAATTCAGAGGGGGTGCTGATGCCCCCTCTCTCTGACAACTGTTTCTGTTGCCACCCCCTGGTACAGAAAGGAAAAATATGGAATTTTGAAATGGGAAATGTGTAGGAAGCCTGTATATAGAACTCCCCTTCATTCAAAGCCCATATATGATGCTGTGGATGAGGAGGAGACTGCCTGAGCCCCCCATGTGTGTCCTCCCCATTGCAGAATGGGGGAGAGTGCCTGCGAGCCTACGTGTCCGTGGCCCTGGAGCAGGTGGGCCAGTGGCAGGATGAACAGGGCCACGGCGGCCTGTGGTACGTCATGCAGGTGGTCAGTCAGCTGCTGGACCCCCGCACGTCCGAGTTCACGGCCGCCTTCGTGGGCCGCCTGGTGTCCACGCTGATCGCGCGTGCCGGCACCCAGCTGGGCGACCAGCTGGACCAGATCCTGCGTGCCATCCTGAGCAAGATGCAGCAGGCAGAGACGCTCAGCGTCATGCAGGTGGGGGGCGGGGGAGGGAGAAGATCCTTAACGTTTTTTTTTTTTTGTGGAGATATCTGATGAAACCTGTAGCATTGTTAATAGATTATGGATTGATCATACGTGACCCTTCTGAGTTGTATTGGCCAAGAGGATCAGACTGCAAACAGGAAGGAGTTGCAGCTAGATGTATTTCACGTAAAAATGAATGTGTTTTTTTTTCTTTCAGTGATACCTTTCATGACAACAGTAATAGAGAACCTGCTAATGGTCAAAGCGTTTCTATTTAATTACCATTAGGTCTGCGTGCGTGTCTGCAGCCAGCGTGCCTGACCCAGTATGGTGTGTTTCTCGCAGTCCCTCATTATGGTGTTCGCCCACCTGGTCCACTCTCAGCTGGAGCCCCTGCTGGAGTTCCTGTGCAGCCTGCCGGGGCCCACGGGCAAGCCTGCCCTGGAGTTCGTCATGGCCGAGTGGATGAGCAGGCAGCACCTCTTCTATGGCCAGTACGAGGGTAAAGTCAGGTGAGTGTGGGCGCCGTGACCCGGCTCCCTGGCTCTCCCAGAGTCCTTGGAGTCCTTACACTTGTGTTCCTCCTGTCCCCCTGACAACTGCAGCACGGTGGCCTTGTGTAAGCTCCTCCAGCACGGCATCAACACCAATGACAAGCGCTTGCAGGACATAGTGGTAAAGGGTGAGGAGATCTTCAACCCCGCTGAGGGCATCCGCACACGCTCCAAGAGCGCCAAAAGTATGAACCCTAGCTTCTATTTTATTATTTTTTTTCACCCTACGGCCTGGATCAGTATATGATCCGTCTGGTACTGATCTTTTGAAATCGTTTGCACGATCTCGTTTAGACCCAGAGCGCTGGACCAACATTCCTCTATTAGTGAAGATCTTCAAGCTGATAGTCAATGAGCTGTCGTCTGTGATGGAAGCCAACGCCACCAGGGTGGCCTCTGCAGACTGGAGCCAAGGTATTACAGTGCCAGGTGGAAAGGACCATGTAACTGGTGCCAACTAACTGATGTGTTATATTAATGTAATTAGTAGATGAGGGAACTGGCACCTTTTAATTACAAGTTGCCAAACATGACACTTCATTAACCCCATTACCTTCCTTTTGGGTAACTGTATCCCTCAACAATAGGTATAATAACCATTTAAATGCTTGTGAGAATTTAATTCAATTCAAGAAAAAGTTAAGAATAATGTTCAGTAAAATCTGTGAGATGCTTACCTGCCCCAAGGCGATTCGATTTGATTATTATTATTGAGGAAAAACAGGGAGAATGTGCCAGTGTAAAATTGTTTAAAGGCCACCTACTGAACGGAAATAAACTGTTAAAAGAAGCACTACCTGATCAGGGGGGTGGGCGGGGGGTATTGCCAAATGACGTTACGTCATTTTTTCTTCTGTGGAAAACAAAACATCGATCTATGACTCTGCTTTAATAATGAATTATAAACATGTTGCGGGCCAGTACTTTAAGACCTCCTCTAAGTGGTGAATGAGCCCTTGGAAACCCTCAGCCGCCACTACAGAAAATGGCTGATCATCCAGTGCAATCATTTCCATTATTTTAGTAGCTGTGTCTTTAGCCCTGGTACTGCTAAATTTGAATATTGATATAGTTTAAATATTGGCCAATTTTGACACACAGGAGCAATGCCAAATATCTTTTAACATTGTTAACCAGTATGTCATGCATTTCAAAAGGCTAATATTGCTTTTTACTTGGCCAGCTGATTAGCTATCTAAGTCTAGATTGTTGCTTTTGTCGCTTGCAAAAATAATGACTTCTGCGATACAAAACAGGCATTTTCAAAAAGCATCGTTGTACAAAGATTATCTTAACCATAAAAGAGAGTGCTCTGCTCTACATAACAGAGGTGTTTCCCAAAAGTGTTGTAGTTCAAAGATCATCAAGTGACGCTTCCTTGTTGAATATTACTGAGCCTTACTTTGCAAAGCAATGTTTTGGAAATATGTGTGATAACGTGAACGATTCATCATGTTGCATCTTTACAACCATACTACATAACTGTCTAAAAATTCAGTCACAACAATTTTTCTACTGGGGGTTCTCTTTTATCAGCAAATAAACTGCTGATGATGCAAGAATGTTACAAATATAGATAGAGAATCAGATGAAAATCTGAAAGTGTAAGTATCACGCTAGGGGTGCGGTTGGTCGCCGTAGGTCGCGGTGGGGCGCGGTTGGTCGCCGTAGGTCGCGGTGGGGCGCGGTTGGTCGCCGTAGGTCACGGTGGGGCGCGGTTGGTCTCCGTGGGGCGCGGTTGGTCGCCGTAGGTCGCGGTGGGGCGCGGCGGGTCACGGTCGGTCGCGGTGTTGCCACACACCACCACTTTGTGTGTTTGGAGTTTGCATGTTCACCCTGCTTGTGGTGGCTTTTAAGCAGACACCTTAGTTTCTCTCCACTCTCCAAAAAGCACACAACTTCATTGAATCATCATCATCAACGAATCATCAGATTAATTGGTAGTGTAGTTTACTCCATTATTGATATAATCGATTGTGACAGCCCTAGTTCCAACATACCTTGTGATTTCTGGTTGGTGGCTCAAAAATCCCAGATAAAGGAAACATTTGAGTTTTTTACGCTAATAAGGCATTCTAAGGCAGGTGAGAATTACATGAGCCTTGCACTGTAAATGCTGAGGATGCTGTGTTTGTTACATCCTGACTTTTTGTTTCATCACCCGAGGGCTCCAGCCCTCATTATAGGTAGTTTATTTATTCTCCCCCACAATAATTCAATAAGATCCACCCACACATACTTGCTGGGACTTTTTTCTTGAGTAAAATTTCATCCAAATGTTTCTGGCGGGGCAGTCCATTTTCCTGATGTCAGTGTTAACGTCGTCCTATCACAGAGCCATTATTCATTTACCCATTAACTGCACAGACACATTACAAACGCAAAGATGGACTTGTAGTCAGATTTGAAACTCCGCTATCTTCAAGAGATGGATATGTGCTCTGGGTGTACGCTATTGAATTTGTGCCTTGATGTGGAAAATCTTAAGGTTATTAATCTTGGGGAATTACCACCTCCCCTAAAATACACTGATTCAAAATGAGTTTTTCTTAGTGGATTGCTATAAATATCCTTGGTGATGAGTGAGTTTTAAACAGTAGCAGTACTATGATAACTTAAAGTAGCAGCATTGACGTTTGTGTCGCAGCCTGCCTTGGAATTTTGAATATATGATAACAATAGATTAGGCTGAGCAGTGGTGGCTTAATGGTTAGGGAAGTGCACTTGTAATTGAAAGATTGCAGGTTCGAATCCCCAACCAGCAAGGCACCACTGAGGTACCCTGAGCAAGGTGCCGCCCCCAAGCACTGCTCCCCGGGCGCTGAATTAGCTGCCCCCTGCTATGTCATGTTGTCACATATGGGTTAAATGCAGAGGACACATTTCGTTGTTGTGCACTGTGTGCTGTGGTGTGTCAACAATGACAATTAATAATTAAAAAAAAGATGAGATGGGTGGCCAGTAAAGTCACTGTGGAGACCCAGGTACAGATAACTGACATCTTTATTAGGTACGTTGCCAGTAAGGCTGAATCCGCCCTTGACTCTTATGGACAAACAGTACCTTCAAGTCCTGCTTTTAGGATGATGATGTGTGGTAGCGAGTAGCTTGTAATGCTCCCCGTGACAAAAATATACAGCAAAAATACAGTACATTTATGGCTCTAAATGGAGCCTCTGGATAAGTCAGTTATGAAAATAGTCATAAAATATCCATATCCTATATATTTGCACACTTGCACTGAACATCTACTACTTGTATGCTTTGTTGATAGTCTTTCAGTAGGCCTGCATCTGCTGAAGGGTGTGTGGCACGAGAGAAGAGACAGGAGACAGTTGCTTAGCCTGTGAAAGGGATGAAACCACTTTATTTATTAATAAACAGGAAGAGAAGAAAAGTAGATCCGGTTGCCGCCGAGATACCAAAAAAGTCTGACCGGAAGTCAAACAAGCCTTCAGAATAAGAGCACATCTGCCCTGAGAATTCTAATCGCTAAGAAACCGCCACAGGTGCATCTAATGTATTTGTGTTACAGGAGAGCTTAGCAAAGGCAAAAGAAGATCTTTCAGTGATGGTTTTATAATGGAAATGGCACTGAGGGTGACCTACTTCATTAATAATGTCATTTGCCCTTGGAAATTGAACTATCACTTTCTGTGTTTGGACTTGTTATTCAGATTTTATTACTTTGCAGAAACTGAAAATAAAGAGAGAGGAATCTCATTTTCAGAGTATAGGTGACTTTAGGAATCATCTGCCATTATGTGCAGATGAAGTCTTAAATGTTGAGCTAGGGTGGATTTTATGTGATCAAATGACAAAGGAAAATCTTTATGCAATTAATATATGAATAATCCTCATGCTTTGCCAGTTGGCAGTGAGGATGTTACTTTTGTTACAGAGGTTATAACAACTAACTCTACCACCCAGTGTTAGTCACACATTTATACTGAGTATCACTGTCCGGAGTTTTTGAGTCATGCCAACTTCTGTCATTATCAAAGAATTTTTAAATATCTTTTAATTAGGCGTGGAACAAAATGCCATGATATCCAATATTGTTATACAATAGAAGGCCATGTGCCCTAGATGTGTGTATATCGGAATACAAAATGTCATGTGACTTGGTCTCCTGTGAATAGTCTGTCCACCGTTTCATGTACTGTTGGAGATAGCGGTGCCTTTTGTGACATTCAGATGTTGTCACAAGCCTGGAATACATAATGGTACCTCAGTGGCAAGATGAATACTATACACCGTAAGCATGTTTAGTAGGAAATCCGTCACACAGTAATATTAACAGTGCACCGCAGAGATACAGAATCATCGGATTGCTAAAAATTCTCATGAGTCGTGCGGCCATTTTATTAGAAGGGGATCTGGGTGTGTGCAGCTTAATTGATTTTTACTGGTGTTGGTCTCTGCAGATTCTGGGGACATGTGGGAGGAACAAGAGGATGAGGTGGAGGATGAAGATGATGAAGAAGAAGGGCTGCCGGGGCAGCTTTTGTCTGACCTCATTGCCTCCAATAAATACGGTTTGTGCTTTACTCAGTGAATGATGTTGGCTAACCCCCCTGAGCTCCTAGTGTGCTACTAAATTAAATGACATTCAGTGGCTTGTAACATTACAAGACCTGCATGTGTTTGCGTCTGTGAATGTATGGAATTCTCATTGATGTACAACAATGCACAGCCTTGAAGTGGATGCACCAAAAATTTTTTTTTAAATAAATAAATAATATATATATATATATATATATATATATATATATATAGTGTTAGACCCAGAAATATTGTCTATCTTTGTGAAAATGTACCAGAACCTGGCTATAGAATCCTAACTGATGTCTATTATAGATGAAGATTACTATGAAGATGATGATGAGGAAGACCCTGATGCTCTGAAGGATCCCATTTATCAAATTGACCTCCAGGTAGGTCTTCTGTGAACTTTGTGAACCTTCATTTGGTGAAGCTTCTTCAATGCTGACTGTGAGGGTTTGTTTAGTGCCATTTTCACGTTCCTTAATCCCTTTCTACAGGCCTATCTGACAGACTTCCTGACCCAGTTTGCACAGCAGCCGTGCTATGCCATGTTCTCTGGTCACCTGAATGAAGCGGAGAGGAGAGTCCTGCAGGCTATTGGCATTTAAAAGCCTCCCCTGCTCGTCCCCTCCATGTGGAGCACTCCTACTCCCTTTCAAGCACTTACACCCCAGAAAACTCATGCTTTCTCTCAGCTGAGTCTCAGACTCAGTCCCCCTACCCCCACTACATTCTCACTTTTCATTGTCACTGAGAAGGAAGACTTCACGTGGACCTGGACTGCACCAGAAGTACAATTCATTGTGGAGAGGGTAGGGTTAGGGGGTGGAGCAGAGGTGCCACAGGTGCCACAGTCACCTGACAGCAGGACTAGCTTGCCTCCGAAAGAACTTGGGAGACCCCGCACAAGAAAATGGCGTTTAGCCTGTCTGACAGAGAGCGTATCAGAGTTCTTGCAGTTTTGGGAGTTATCCCGAAGTTTCTCAAAATGGACAGACGGCCAGGGTGAACATCCTGAGATGGACTTGTCAGACACCCAGGTTTCACCCCTCAGCTCGCCATGGTGTTCTGTGTTTTCTGGGCACTTCTGTGGGACAAGGCGCCAAGGGAGGAGTTCAACGCATTGGGACAGACTGCGAAGGCACATAATGGCAGTTTACTCATTCTCAAGACATTGGTTCTTTCTCTGTTGCAGTATGAGTTGTGGCGGCCTAAGAGGCCGTGTCACTCGGCGGCATGGGTGGGGCGAGGGGCCTGCCAGATGCCAGAGCCGAACTCCGCCTTTAAAAATTCTGCCACCCACTGAATGTTGAAATGACAATTCAAAATAAAAGGCCTATTACGGCCCTCCTTTTCAGTCTCCTCTCTCTTTTTGTCAATCATTTGCTGTGCCACCAGGGACAGACAAGTGATGTTAGAGTGAAAGAATGGTGGAGGCTAGTTACTACTAACTATTCTAGCTCCTTACTAAGGGAACCCGCCCCTTCCAATTAAAAAAGGATATCAGTCTTAGCTTGTTGTAACTATATCCTATTGCATGCATTTTAAAAATTACTATAACATTGTCAAATACAAATTCATTTTTGTTGTTTTCCTTTTTTTTACATTTTAATTTTGCTTTCAATTTCCAGTCACATTTTTACACTTAAAATTGCCATTGTTTCAGCTCATGGATATAATTAATTGGAACTTCTCCTGGAGCAGGATTGTTATAATGAATGCAATTTTTAAAAATGACTTAGAAATACCTCTGTGGATGTGCTGTATTGCACAGGTTTATCAGTGCTGGGAGGGAAGTTGGCCAATAGTGTGTGAATTGTAAGTTCATAAGGAGTGGTTTGGATTTTGTCCCAACAACCTGATTTTTTTTTTTTTTTTTTATATTTAATTTTTGGATTTTAGAGAAGATGTGGTTCTTGTTTTTAAAACTTGGTTATGCTGATAACTCGCTGTGCATTTATTATGGAATATAATGTGATTGTGACATGACTTCCCCAAACTGTCATTGACCCTGTGAGAGATATAACTGTATGGGCATGAGTGCCTGTACTCACTGTGGACAACTTACCAATCCGTCCCAACCTGCTGATCAGCTGCTGTATGTCAGGAATTCATCAATACCTCTAGATGGAACAGGTCACTTGTAGTACAGTACATGAGGGGAGGGTTCCAGCCCCCAAAGTACTGCAGTGTTTTGTGCTTTCTCAGTTTGCCGTATGAGCACTGTGGCCCTTAAAGCCTGAAGTTCCATACTTCATTTGTACACGGTGAAGTACCATGTCCCTAGGGAAAGAGAGAGAGAGGAAAACAACATGCCTTTGCATCTGTTTCACAAGTCACCTTACATTATCTGAAACAGCTTATATAATGTTCTGAACTGTACAAGAAAAGTTTTACAAAAACGTTTGAAATGCAGCAACACTGGGTGTATGCTTTGTCATTGTTCTGAGTAAAGCATAACTTTCTTAGCTTGGGTTTTCTGAGTCCTGGTTTGGAGGACCATTCGCATGCTCTTATTTACACTATGGCTGTGATGTATGGATTTGTCAGTCACAATTTTGTATAGAAAAAGTTCAAACTTGGCAAACATTTCAGTCATCACTTATTCAAGATGTAGGAGGTTAAACGTGTACTGTGTTATTTTAAAGTGAAAAGATCTTATGTTCTTATCTTATGAATGGACTGATACATATCCAGGACTTGATTGTACATGTAACTTCACTGAAGGATCTCTAGGTGTTACAGGCATAACTTCTCAATCATGCATAAGTTCTCAATCATGTGACAGAGCGGTAGACCCAGTAAAAGGAAGTGAATGCTTCACGTTGTCCGGTCAAGAGTTTCAAATTTTGAATCAACAGTTTCATATTATTTGAAAGAAAAAATACAATTCTTCATTTTACTGATAAATCGTGAAGGTTAACCTTTATATTAATGTTTACGTAGAATAATCGCTTAACCTGGTGACTTTGTAGGAGTACGTAAGCCTACAGGCCAAAGACGCACAAACCTGTGTGGCCATTTGCAGCAGCGAAAATGAGTTGAAACCATTTTAGTGTCCCTGCGCGATTCAAAGTGAGCCTCATTGTCGCCTGTGAAAGTGACCACTGCGCACGCGTGGAGAATAGGGTCCCTGGTACTGCGTGTCCATGTTCTCCTTTAAGCGCAGCCCAAGAGGCGCTCCGGAGCAGTCGCTGGCTCTCTTCCGTCCCCAGGACGCACGGCGTGACTGGTGATCTGTCATTCCGCGGACCCTGTGATGATTGCGGCTACAGCGCTCACGTACCGCGTATTATTAACCGAGCTGGAGTATGGTTTTAGGACCGTCTCATTCTGCCGGTCATAAAGAGAAGCTTGACGTCAGAGTGCGATATTCGGTCTCCTGCATATTTCCTTTGAAATAATCTCCGGACTGCAGCTAAGATGTCGCTTGTGTGTTTGGCTTTGCCGGTGCTCGCCACCATTCTCTCCGCCTGGCAGGGTAAGACAATGCTGCTTTAATCTGTCTCCAGGCCTCGGAAATAACGTCACAAGAATATACTCGTATTTTAATTTCAAAACGCTTCATACATACTTTATTCTTAACACAATTTATAATGTTAAATCCCTATCGAATCAATTATTTAAATGTAAGTTGGAGGTTATGTGTTTTGTTATATTTTGTAAAATGATGGCAGTGTCATTTGAGTGGAAAGATCACAGTAATATGTAATTTATGGCGTATATCCATTAGGCACGGCGTCAGAAGTCGTACACTGGCCCGGACATTAAGGATGATTCGCAGGGTTATTTTTTCTCTGTCATTTCACACCAACATGGTGGAATTTCGTGAGTCATATCAACTCCCAAACCCATCTCTGGTGCAGTTTTCGTTAATGCAACAGATTTCATATCGAATTTTCATATAGTATTTATGACTCGAAGCCTAATAATCTAGAAAATAATTATGGTAATATATCTGTTTTTTTTATCGAAGTCTGGGCTTGGTCATAATTAAAAGGAAAAGAATTCTTATAATACTGATGACCAAATTAGCCATTCGCAGTTTATCTTATTCTAAATAGCCTCATGTCCAAAGCACATGAAAAGCACTGCCATTAGCAGAATAATATTTAATTTGAACAAAGAAAACACATTTGAAGTTCTATGAATTGACGCTCGAGTCATATTGAAGCTCAGGGTACCTTTTCAGATAAATATGCTTATGACACCCCTGGTGAGCTTTAGGCACAATGATTGTACGAAGGAGCGTGCTACCGAATCGGTAACCTGCTCTAAAAAAAAGTGTGTAGGTTTTCTTTTTTTTTTCTTTTAAATATCAAGAGTCCGAGTGTACTTAATTTCGATAGTAACGTCGTGTACAATAGCCTATTGCAGCAGGTTCTGTTACTCGTTACCATTAGAAGTGTGTCAGAAACGGATTAATATTAGAAACGTAAATATTTTGATAGTATGGAAAATATAACTTGAAAGCTGTTATATATGCTTCTGTATTTTCTGGTACGTTTAACTGTATTTCGTATCCGCTTTTGAAAAAAAAAAGTGTTTTTCATACATTATATTGTAATCTCATAATTCTGAACGGCCAGTTAAAACTATTTCCATTGAAATTAACCAATAAATGTATTTTTAACGACAGAATGGATTAAAGAGCGATGAATTGTCAGTTTAGAATGGGTGTGCACGTGGAATCTCACCACTGTGTTTATGATAAAGACAGGTGCCAGATGTACTGGAAACAGCATTTAGACAACTCGAGGATTAAGAGTTTGTTTTGGACATATTTCAGAATTAAATTTAGAAACGGAATTGCAGAGTTTTTCAAGAACGCTGAGAGAATGGAATTACTGCACTGCCTGAATAATTTTCAGGTGCACAACTCTGCAATATTATATATAAATGTTATGTTAGACCACAGAAGAGCAGTTTAATTATACACACATATTTCTACCAAATCTCAATTGTTAATGCTTATCAACTGAGTAACACTGAACATATTAAATCTGGCAATATTTATGCACCCTAAGCAGCTAAGAGTATGTGTATTCAGCAGCCACACATAGAAAATATGTAGTTTCTTAAGGTGCTAATGTAATCACCAAAAAAGCTGTCCGTCACCCTTGTAAATATTCTAGAACAGCACATTGGTTTACAGAGCAGCTATCAGAATTTGATCCTACTTATTCACTCTGCATTTTTATTTATTTATTTTCACCTGGACTTGGGATCCCAAGTATATAAAAAGAGTGAGAAGGTAATATATAATCACTACTGCAAATGGTTCAGCCTATAGTCTAGTAAACAGGAAGGGAACGTGCCATTTTAACTAAGCTCTGTAAAATAATCCCATGCTTGAGACCTTGCAGCAGGTGGTAGACTGGCCTATGTGGTCTATATATATCTTCCTCACCAAAAGTGCTCCTTGGCTATGATAAGCCTTAAATCAGTTTCCTTGATTCCTTGATTCTTGTTATCTTTCGAATGAATACTATATACGCAGCTCACAATGTTCACTGATTTGATCATTTCCGCATGATGGTTCATGTGATAGGAAGTGTAGTGATTTTTCTGGGATGGCAGTTACAGCATGGTACCTGTGTTCAATCCAGCAGATCAGTGTTTCCCAATTCAGTCCTTGGGAATTCCCAGTCATTCAGCGTTTTTGATCCCTCCCAGCTCCCTACCAGGACATCCACCGTAGTGTTTCCCAGCCCAGTCCTTGGGGACCCCCAGGTCCATGTTTTTGCTCCTTCTCAGCTCCCAGTAGGGGGTCCCCAAGGACCAGGTTGGAAAACACTGCAGTAGATGTTTTTTAACTATGAGTGGTGCGCATGGTGGAGGAAGAGGGACGGGCTGCTCTGATACTCTTTGCATCTATGGTCCCATGTGAAGTGAGTGCAGATGAGGATTGCCTCTGGTATGTGGACAAGAATGGCACCTGGCACAATGGCTTCGACTGCCCGCACCTGGCCTTCTGCTGCGGGAACTGCCAGCATCGCTACTGCTGCCTGGATCACAGCAAGATCATCCTGGAGAAGGAGCAGAAGCGCTGCATGCTCTTCCAGTTCAGGTGTGACCCCACACCCAAGCACGTGCCTGTTTTGTCGCCTTCGTCGACAAGACTGTGCGTCTTTTTTCTAGTCTAGCCGAGCATCTGATGGTATCGTAGCAAATGAGGAGGCCGCAAGGGGAGGGACTGAGGGGCAGCAGGGAGTCTGATTCTTAAAATGCCTCTCTTTCCCACCCTGTGCAGCCCTACCACCATAGCGGGCATCGCCTCCTCCATCCTGCTGTTTGTGGCCATCATCGCTACCATGGTGTGCTGCTTCATGTGCTCCTGCTGCTACCTGTACCAGCGCCGGCAGCAGCGGGGCGGGACGCCCTACGACGGTAAGACGAGCCGCAGGCCAGCCACGGGGATTCGCTGTTTACAGGCGTGTTCCACGTCACTCCATCGCGCCGCTCTCTGTCCCGAGTGATGGCTGTCAGCGCCCAGCCCTGTTTTCCGAAGCAGATGGTTGAGGGCTGATACACTGTGCAGGCCCAGCACGTTGCATAAAGCTCCTCTCTGGACTTCCAACCGAATTGTCCATGGTTCTGATTTTGAGAGGGGAAATCTAAACTGTCGAGTACATGTCCTGCTGCATGTGGATGCAAAAATATGAAATTGTAAGTTACATAAATTTCTTTGGATGACAGATTTGGTTCATTATTATAATATTACTCTGGGCTGGTTTAGAATGCAATTGCAAATATTGTACATATTGCCCAAACATACTGATGTGGTATTCTTATATATATATTTTTTTCCCAGAAACACATGAAGGTATGCTTTAAGATGCTGCATCATTTAATGATGTAATGTTTGTCTTTGAATGTGAATCTCCTGTGCTTTTGGCCACTGTTCGAGCATCGTCTGTCGTTTTAGGTTTTCATTTCAAACTGGGTTTAGTGTAGCCGTATAATGCTTCCTGAGGCAAAGTCTGCATGCTCATGCTGCGTTGGTGCTGCATTGCTGGCATGGCTGCAGCGGTACACTGACGTGTGACTGACTTCCAGGCCAGCAGATCCCGATGGCCAGCTACCCGGTGGACCCCGCATTCAACGCGTATGGCAAACCGATGGGGCCTGCTGACTACCATAATCCTGGGTACCCAATGGCACCACATTATTACTCTGGCATGCCCCAGCAGTATCCCATGATGCCGCAGGGTCCTACCCCTCCATACCCGCCGGCAGACCCGGGAGTCGGCCATGCAGGTGAGAACCAGAACAGAAGTGACAGGTTTAGTTGTTGTCTTGGATGTTGAAAAATTATAGCTAACTGTGCAAATGCAGATAGAGAGGGAACCAGGGTTCTGTAGCCCTGTATGTGAGTATTGCAGTTACTGGGGCAGTTAGGGAACTGGATGTGTTACTGAGAGGTTGTCAGTCCACAAATGAACCCTGCTGCTATAGCCTAAAGGAAGGTACTTCAGTTGGATTTCTATAATGGAGTGTACCAGAAGTAGGACTGCATAAATGGATGACAAGTATAAAATTGTTAGCCAAGCTTAGTTAGCAAGCTGTTCTAATTCTTTTGCCGAGTGTCTTGATTTGTTGTAACATCAGTAATTGTAAGAGTACTTTGTCGTTTGCGGTTGTACTGTAGTAGAGTTCAGGGGCTCCTCAACTTATGAAGGGGTTACGTTCCGCTGGACCTGTCATAATTTGACAATATAATATAAAGTCGAATATGAATATGATATGACACACTTGGGTGTTTAGTAGCCATAATGGGCTTTGGAAGATTTGGATAAACGGAGAAAAAATATACCATTCGATATGTCGGCAATGGCAACTTTATTTATACCACACTTTTCACACAACGAAGTTGACCAAAGTGCTGCAAGTGTAAGAATAAATGCCAAAAATAAACTTAGAAATCACATCTAAAATACATTAAAATTAAAATAATAAAATAAATAAAATAAAAATGAATTAAATTAAAAACAAATTAAAAATGTCAATATGTCATGCTGTACCAAAGGCCAAAGTGAACACATGTGTTTTGAGAAGT